TATGGGCATGATGATAGCTGAAAGAATGAAAGAGAAGAATTATTACAACAGTGTACAAGGAAACTATTACCAGGATGATAGATATGCTCCTTACATTTCCAGCGTCTGTTTGTATATACACACGTCAAATGTTTTTGACATATATGCTAAAACATCAAATTGTACACTCTAAATAGTTTATTGTATGTCAGTTATGCCTAATTTTTTTTTTGTTGGCTCATCTAACATGATATACAGTCTCATGACAGTGCATTTCCTTGAAGCTCTATTATTATTACTTGTAGTTTAAGCACTACATGAAAAAAATAGGTACTGGAAAATCCTACTGAGGTTAAGTATAGACTTTCATTTAACATTATTTTCTTCTTAGAATATTGGTAGGATAATTCTTCTTTTAGAATAATCCCCACACCTTCTGACACTTGAACAGTTTAATTTTATTTGGTGTGACACCTTTTAAAAAATGATTGATACCAAATGCCTCTCTTAACTTCACTGTAGCAAAGAATTATTGATTAATTTCTTAAGTTAAAAAATAAGCTTACTAGACTGTACTGGAGTATAAATTAATTTAATATAGCTTGAAATATATGAGTAACCAAACACAGTTATCTTTTTATTATGTTATTTCTCTTTCTTGAAGCACAATACTCCATTTAAGGATTTTTTTTTCTCCCTAGGCAAAGATTTCGGTCCTTTTTAATGTAGCCTTCTTGGGCATGTTGCAGATATTCTCCCTGTGTTTTTCAGGTCTATTGTAGTCAAGCCAATTTTTCATTTTCTTTGCTTCTCACCTGTTTCTGTCTATTTATTTGTGTATGAGATGTCAAAGGAAAATGAAAAGCAACACCTCAAAATACCACCTTGAAAAAGAAAATGCCAACAAATTCTTTTCTGCACCTGAAGCTTTTAATTCTTTAATCCACCAAGGAATGTTGCTTAATTACATATTTTATTATGCATAACTGAAAATTATGTACTTTAGTTTCAACAATGATATGAAAGCACGTATTGTTTATAAATAAAGAGAGGCTGGTTTGTCTCTTTTTATGTGACAAATATTTGTGGAATCCTCACAGGTTTTGCTTCTAAAACTTGGCTTTTCAGAAACTGTTCTGAGAGACAACTTCAAGTTTTAATACTTTCTCTAGAAATCAGAAATCTCATTACTTTGCAAAAATATGATGACATCATAATACTATTGCAGGCAAACACCACTGAACAGTTGAGTGTTTTTTTTGTATTGGCTTCATCTTAATTTTAACAAGCTTTACTCAGAGTTTATTAACTGAAAAATGTTATGGTTGTTATACTGGGAGATAAATCCATAGGAGTTCATTATCTTTATTTTTTCATGTCGGTTTAAAAATTTCCACAGTAAAGTTTGTTTTAAAAACATACTTAGTGTATGTAGATCTCGTACCAGGAGAGCAGAATTTTAGGAATAACATTTTATGATGACACTTGATTTTAACTACTTGATGATCAACTTTTCCATATTAGTAAAATAGTTTACATTTGTTACACATTCCCCAAAATTTTGAGTTACAATTAGTTCTACATTTGAGCAACTTATTGAGAAAACAAATCTGAAAGTCGAAGGCTCAGTTTGAGAAGAATGTGACCCTGCGCAGCTGAACAAGCCAGTTAACCTCTTTGAAATTTTCTTCCCTTGTCTTTGAAGTAAGAATTTCAGTGTCCTCCTTAAGTACCTCCTAACGTAAAGGGGAGCTTGAAACCAGGTAAGATGAAGCGCTCTAGAAATGCGGCTGTTACCACTTTAAAGGTGTTGAGGATGTTAGGAAAGGGGCCTTGGAAGATGGGACACTTTTGTAATAGGTTGGGCAGCACAAGTACTGTACTCAGAAATTACTAGAACTGGAAACGAAAGTGGAATCTGTGAAGCCTGTTTCCACATGGATGCTGTTCAACAGGTTTGCATTCTGGACAAATGCTCCTATGTGTCACAGTGCTGCACATGCAATGACTTCATGGACAGCCGCAACACTTTCTCCAGCGTTCTCAGTCAGCAGACACTACTGGTTCTTCCACGAGTGCGACACTAGAGCAGCACGTGGGACACCATTCTTTTTTTGGAAGGTGTATGGGTATGAACTCAAGACTCAGGCACTGGAATGAAAACGTAGGTGAATAGATTTCTGATTCAACAGCAAAGAAATAATATTCAACAACTTTGGGCAAAATATGTTCCTTTACAGTTGCTCTGCAAATGTTTATTTTGCAAGGCAACCAGTACACTGCTCTACTGCGCTTCCTCGTCAACCACACTTCAGTGGCTGTGAGGGGGCAGCCCTCAGCGCAGGTCTTCTGATCATGGCAGCTGAAAATAATCCATGGTAGGAAATGGCTTCTTACTCCAAAGCAAGGGCGAAGAGCTGCACCTGGATTTTGATAGTGTTCTTTTGATAAAAGTTTGAAA